TCTTGATGCTCGATGATGCCAAAGCACGGCTTCCTCTCCTGCCCTTCTTCTTGCCGCTTTTGCCCTTATTGGTGTTGGTCTTAGTCTTCTTGTTGTTGCTGCTGGTTTGGCTGACAGCGAGACCGTCCGAGCCCCAGAAGGCGCTGATGGCCATAACCCTGCCGGTGATCTCCTCCGTCCGTGTGGCGACGGCCGCGTGCCTCTCGACAGCAGACGACAGGCGCCGCAGCTTGTCACCGAGCATGAAGGAGAAGATCGACGACCCGAGGTTGTGCGGGAGTGTGTTGTGTGCGTGTCGGATCCACTCGTGTGTGTTGATGGGGCGGAAGGTGAGAGGCAGGAGGGAGCGGCGCGTGACGGTGGATGAGGTGTGCGTCCAGAGGGAGTGCAGGGCACACGTGAGGGACCGGTGCAGACCGCTGCTGCTGCTGGGGGTGGTTGAGGATAGAGACAGCCGGTGGTGGTACTTGACGATCCGGCGGAACTGCTCAGCCGCCTTGCTGCACGGCACAGAACAGAGGGATCGACAAGCAGACGATGCATTCATTTGCAGCCTTGATCGTATCGTCACCTGATGGCCTGTAGCATTCTCCCAAGTATGAAGTCCGACACCTTCTGCCCCACTCGGTGCTCGTCCCTCTCACCCCAGCGGGCCGCCTCGCCATCCACACCCACCAGTGCGTCCCTCAGCGCGTCTACCACCATCGAGTCGGCCCCGATCTCCTCCACCAGCTGCTCCAGATACTCGCCCACCTCCCTGGCCTTACGCCGCACATCGCGGCACTCCTTGCTGCGGCACTTGATCGGCAGACACGCCAAAGGCAGCACGGAGGGCACTGTGAGCGACGTCCACTTGGGGGGCTCCTGGCCGACGCCGAAGAGAGAGCCGCCGCCCTTGATCGACTGCTTGGTCCACTGCTCACTGGGCGGCGGGATGTCCGCCTTGCGGAAAATGTTATGGAAGAGCGACCCGACGACCGTATCGCTTGCTGGGTGGGGGTGGGCTGGGGCTGTGGCGTCCAGAGAGGCCTGGGTGCTGCCGTCTGCTGATGGCATGTTGGATGAGTGCTGCTGCTGGATCTCCATGAACTGGTCGTTGACCTGGCTCTTCCACTCGTCGAGGTGCGTCTCTTGCTGCAGGAGGCGCTGGAGGAAGTCGGTCTTGAGCAGGGTCACCTGGCTTGTCTGCTGCTTGTGGGCGTCGCAGATGGACTCCAGGTCACGCTTAAACTGGTGCAACTGACACATACACACAGACAGACAGACAGACAGACACAGAGAAACAGATGTGCGTCGATCGCGACCCGTTTCTGTGTGCGTGTGCGTGGTGTGTGGCACTCACTTCGTTTTGCAGTGTTTCAAATGTGGCCAGTGCCACCAGCCCCACTGAAGCAGGCTCCTTTCCAGCCCTGCCCTGCCACTTCTTGAGCCCGCCCACTTCGTTCTCCACAGCCGCCACTCTCTTGGCCAACACATTGGCTGTGTCGTTCACGGCCGCGATCTCCCTCGTGTGTCGCGTCACAATCGTGGATGTGGGAATGCGTCTCGCCGTTGTCACGTTGAACCACCCTGAGGACTGGTTGCCAGCTGGCGTCACGTCTGGCGTCTCGTCGGGCACCGTGTCGACATGGATGAAAAGCGCCCAGACAAGTGCCGCCACCACTGCGGTTGTGAGAACAACCGACCTCCACCATCCGCCGCCTGTGGCCGCCATTCTGCCCCGCCGCTTGAGCCGCGTTGGTGGCCCTCTCCGTTGTTGTGCGGCAGAGGTGAGGACATCCACGGTGTCGGGCCATGCGCCAGAGGAAACACGATCATAGAGGTAGTCGAGTGCGTCCTCCTGCTGCTGCTCGGGCGACCATCTTCTCTCCAAGAAGGAGGGATCAGACGTGTTGCGGCGCATCGCCAGGTCGAGCCCGGTGCCTGCCGAGCCGATGCGCACACGACATCACACCACAGCACAGCGCAGTCCGCCCAGTGAGTGAGACCATTCCCCCTCCATGTTGTGCACCTGATCGTTCGGTGGTGATGGCGTTCATATCCCACACCTCGGTCATCTGCATATGGGGCGGCATCGGCGAGCCCGGCAGCGACCGCGAGCCCTTCTTGTTTAGCTCCCGACGGGACACCTGAGGCGACGGGCTGGGCGTCTTGGGCACGGCAATGCTCTCGGCGTGAAGCGCCGGCGGCTGTCCGTCCTTGCCTCTGGGGCTCTCGGGCAGCTCGACGATGCCGGGCAGGGGCAGCAGCAGGGAGCTGGGGTTGGTGGCGTACGACGACGCGCGGGCGGCCTTGAGTTTGTCCTCCACCTTTTTGCCGTAAGTGTATGGCGCGATGCCCTTGGTCAGCGACCATTTGCCGGTGGTGTTAGAGACGTTGCGCGAGGGCGGCGGCGCCTTGGCACCGGACGAGGATGACGGCGGGAGAGGTGGCAACGTACCGGCGTGGGCGTCAGAGAGAGAAGAGTTCGTCTGAAACGACACACAGGCACAGAAGGCGTCTGGAGCACCCGGCTCAGCTCACGTCGCTGGGTCTTCCCGATGAGCCGCCCGACTCGATGCCCGTTCTGTGTCTGAAGAGGCTCTGCAGTGCATGTCGTGTTTGCGGCCTGGCGTTGCTGAAGCTCTGTCTCGCGGAGGGCGGCTTGAGCGAGACAGAGCTCTTGGCGCCGCCGATGCGGGCGTTGAAGAGGGAGAGTGCGTGTGAGGAGCGCTTCGACGCTGACCCGCTGCCTGTGTGCTTATCGGGCAGCACCACGGACGTCAGCAGCGTCACGCGCTCAGTCAGACGCTGCAGCGTCAGCACACATGACATCGTATGCAGGGGTGGGTGAGGGCGCTTACGCGGAGGTCCTGTGTCTGTGAGTGCTGGAGGTCGAAGAGCACTTGCACATCCTCCTGCAAACAACACATAAACACACATATGCTTTCATTGCTTTGCTGCCCCCGGGCCAGGCTGGTCCGTTGGTCGGTTTGATGACCTTGAGCTGCGCCAGATCAAGCTCGGCCTCCAGACCGCCTCCTGCCTTGGCGTTCGGGCCGGCCTACACACAACGAAGGCCTCAATTGCAAACAGATAAGGGGCTGTCTGTATGTATTGTGCGTGTGCCAGCTTACTGCTTGGCTGCTTGTGGATCGCTGTGAGTAGCGTCTGGTGCCCCGGCGGTCCAGCAGACTCTGACGCATGTCTCTGTAAGCCTTCACCTGCGCGCGACACGCGTACACCTTTCCATAGAGATGCCCATTTGTGTCACATGATTAATGGATCTGACGTGGTCGTCTCTGAGTTCAGCGTATCTTTCTTCCATGGCGGCGACGCGCTTCTGGAGCTCATCCAGCTGTCTGCAGACACCCACACACACACAGAGATGACAAACTTGGTAACTGACGTCCAAATCTTTGCTTACTTTGTTAGCACCGCTCCCCCCTCGACCGACACAGAGGCCTGCACAGACAGATGAGGGAAGGATCCGCCAGTTGTCTGTTCGTGTGTACTTTGTCCGTGTCTCCGTCGTGCGGTATGGCGTCGCCTGTGAGTCTGGCCAAATCCCTCCCGAAGGCCTTGAACTCACGATGGAGATCCTGAAGACACGCATACATACAAGGAAGGCATAATGTGCAGTCGCCATGTGTGAAGGCGTCAGTCAACCCTCGCAAATGTGGATGCATGCACACGTACCGCGAGCCGAGTCTGGTGTCGGTCGCGCTCTTTCTCCAGCACGTCAACCTCCTTGACGAGGGCTTCGAGCACTTCAGACAGACCCTCCACTCGTTCCTGCACGGCCTCCTTCCACTCTATGTCCTCCTTGGCCGCCAATTTGGCGGCGTTCAACTCGTGATCGCGGAGGCTGATGCATGATAGATCGGTCAAGGATGTTTGTTTATTGAAGTGTTGAGAGATGCGTGTGCGGATGGTCTTACAGGGCTTTCAGTCGGTTGTTCTCCTCGACCATTTCGTCAAACTCCTCCTCGAAGCCGTCACTCTTTGACTATACAGACACACAAGCGGATACCTGCATGTGATGGAGCTTGCCTCTTTCCCTTGCTCACCTTTCTTCTCCGGGCCGCCGCTGATACGCCCAGCAGGTTGCCCAGGGTGTCCATAAACCGAAACAGCCGGCCACCCTGGCCCACTCTACTAGTCTGTGAGTGGAGGCTGGCGGACGAGGTGGTATTGAGAGTGCCCAGCATCTCGGCATTGAGGCCATGCCGGCCCAGCAACTCCCGGATCTTCTGGTACTTGGCCCTCAGACGGGCTATGCGCCGATCCTGACATGAAAGAAGACAGAGAGAATGGCTGACAGTCCCCGTGTTTGTGTGTGTGTTTGACTCTCACTTTACCCGTGTCTCGACATCGTTTTCGAGCTCGACCACAGCGTTTCGGTACAGGTCCAGCCGCTTCTGGTTGGTTATGTCGTCTCCCTCCTCCCCCACAGCCAACTCACCAGAAGGAAAGAAGGCGTCCTCTGCGGCCCTTAATGCCGACGTGTCGCTCGCAGAACTGCCAGAGTTGACGTCGCTACCAATGAAGAACCGCGGGGGGTCTCCCTGACGGGTCGTCCCGGGTGTCTTCTCGCCCCCTTCTTCCATCTCTCCCTCCTGCGGCCTCCCGAAATGCGACAGCACCGAACCAGCCAGCCACTTGGCCGTCGACGATATCGAGCCTCTGCCTGGCATCCGGGAGGGGGAGAGAGAGGGCGAGATGTCAGTGTCGCTGTGCAGGTCGTCCATGGCGCTTCCGGTGGGCCTTGGGAGCGGCAGAGGGGGCACTACGGGGGAGGGTTGCGGCAGGCTGTGATAGTTGGAATCATCGTCGTCTTCTGTCGGTCGAAACGTCATGGGCTCATCATAGCCCTCCGCGTCGTCCCCCTCCTGTTTGTTGGGGGGCTGGGGAAGACTCATGGACGGCAAGGGATCAGCCATTGGAGCGGACGGGGGAGAAAGGGGACAGCTAAACTGGGGCCGACAATTATCAGATCACCTTCTGGGGCCGAGCGCCGTCCGCAAGCTTAGCTGAGGGTGTTCCCCTGCCGACACGATGATGCTCTTGTTCCTACTACTCCCTGCCTTCTTTCACGAGGGAGGCGGCTTTCCACCAAATCTTCCCCGTTCGGCAGATCTCGCGCGGCACCCCTCTCCTCTGCGGTCTTCGCGGCATCTTCCACCGCGTTTCCGCCTCCCAAGGCGCTCTTCAACGCGCCGCAGCGGCATGAGTGAGCAGATGGCGCGGAAGCAAGAGGCCTTGAATGCCACAGCTGAGAGGGAGGCTGAGCAGCAGTTGTGGGACAGGGAGAAGCTGACTGAGAAGATCAAGGAGGCAGGCGTGGCCGGAGTGATCTCGTATGGCGCTACAGAGGTACCGAAAATACAGTGCGTAACGGCCGCCGGACTGCACTGCACTGCAGTGTGGTGTGTATGTCAGGTTGCGTTTTGGTTGACATCATTGCCCCTGGCGATAGCCGCTTTCTTGGCGACATTCGGGGCGATACCCGACATGGCAAATGGGGAGGACGCAGCCAAGGTCGCTGTGTACAGTGCCGGCTTCCTCAGTATCGCCCGTGCTCTTGTCCCCTTGCGTATCGCCGCTGCCCTCGCCTTGACGCCACTGGTCGGGAAATACATCAAAGCAGCACAAACCGAGAAAGGCGCAGACGACTCTCGTGCAGTGGCGGCTGATGACATCCGCAGCCAGCCACTGCACTCCAGCGCGCTTCTCTCGTCCTCTGTGGCTACCGATATTGCTACTGCAAGCCTCCCCGATCGAGTGGCCGAGCCTGTTGTGAATCACGCGTCGGAGGAACAGTCGGGACCGCGCCAACAGACTGCAGAAGGCGGCTCCGCAACACGGATGGAAGGCCGTGCTTGCCCTTGGCTGCCGAGTGCTCGTGCAAGGACGCACTCAGTGACCTTCCCGCTGCCTGAGGGAGGTGACATCTACACCTATGATGCTGTGGTGTTGGGGGGCGACATGGCCAACGAGAGAAAGAGGCCGCCTGTCGTTGTGATACCGCCCGTCGGTGTCGGCATCTCTATGGAGGTGTGGAAGAGGATGGCGAAACACTACCTCTCCCAGGTACGTCAACCGATGCATCATTGCATCATGCGTGTGTGATGCTCACCTCTGTATGTGGGTGTGCAGGGTTGGGATGCAGAAGCCCCGATGCACTTGATCGACTTGCTGGGCACTGGTACCTGTGAGCCCAAGACAGGACCATCGGCTGGCGGCGAACCCTTCACGACAGCCCTCTACGCCGCCCAGCTGCAGCACTACATCGAGACCCACGTGAGGGAGCCTGTCGTGCTGGTTGCGCAGGGTGCGTCGGCGACTGTGGCGATGGCATTGCTCGAGAGGTCACCACAGCTGCTGAGAGGCCTCATCCTCACGTCATCGCCAGGACGCAGGAGAGCCCTCCGGGTGGGCACACATCCACGCAAAAGAGTGGGCGGCAGGGAGCGTGATGCGTTTTGACGCGTGTGTTCGGATGCAGTCACTGCAGAGCGGTCCGGGGGTGTTTTCACGGCTGGCCTGGCGAGCGTCTGAGACGCGGGCAGGCCGGGCCTTCTACAGGTGGATGGGATACGAAGACACCGATGCTGGTTCGTGACACCGCTGCTGGTTCGTGTGTGATGTGCAGGTGGGCCAGCCGGCCGTCGTTCATCCGGTACTTCAGTGAGGCGGTGCTGCTCTCCGACGAGACGCAGACGCGCGACGGCAGCGAATGGATGGACACGCTCACCAAAGACACGCAGAAGAACGACATCAGGTACCCGCAACCCACCGCACACAGCGAGGAGTGAGCTGACACACGTCTCTCTCTCTCTCTCTCTCTCTCTCCCCCTGTGTGTGTGTGTGTGTGTGTGTGGTGCAGTGCTGCTGTGTTGTCGTTCCTCACCGGCCACATCATGGGCGACTACCGTGACGCGATGCGGAAGGCCTCCATCCCTGTGCTACTCGTCATGGGCAAGGCACCCAGCATCAAGGACCAACGATCCAGAAAGGTGCGAACTATGCTGCGAACCCCATCCAACCAAGTGCGTGGCTTCCGTCTCATCTCAATGTCATCAGGGTCGCGCGGAGGACGATAGGGCAGCACGCAACGACAGGCTGGTGGACACGTGAGCTCTAACTCTAATACACGCACAAACTGACAGTCGGTTGCTCTACTTATCATAATCAGGTTCCGCGGTTTCTTCGCTAGCACGGGTGTGGAGTGCATCACTCTGAGCGGCTGCAGCCCATTCTGGGAGAGTGGGTGGCAGGTTGCCCAAGAGATACACGACTTCATGACACGACATTTCGACACTGGGGGCGCGGCGCCTAACTCAGTGCCGTCGAGGGAGCTGACAGAGTGCTTCACGGGCACGCACTCGAGTGAGGGGTGAGGCTGGGTGGATGGGTGAGGTGCTATTGGAGGGAGGAGATGAGCTGATTCGCTCAGAGACTGGCGGGTACATTTTTGTCAGATGCTGATGGGGCCGTGTGGGGGGCATTTTTGTTATTGTGGGTTCGAACGATGGGTGTCTCATGCAGTGGGTGAGGTCGTTAGTTTTCTTGTGGTGTTCTCCATTTGTTGGATGAAGGCCCCCCTTCCGTGGTTTTGGGATGGATGGACAGTTCTCTGAGTAGTTGGCTGACTGACCATGTGCCTGCATGGATGTGTGTCCATTACCCGTGAACGAATTCTCGACACATAAGGCCGCACTTTTGTATTGAATCCACCCAGGTCGCTCTCTCTATCCCTTAGACAGACAGAGACACACCTCAATCGTGTTATGGGCGTATTATTGATGGACATCTGAGCTGAGACATATCGATGGATCCGCGCATCGGCAAATGAGTTCATGAGAGCGATTAAAGAATGAGTCTCAGCAACGCGTCCAACAAGATATAGAATGTACACAGCGATCTCTCCCGTCAGTCGGTTGTCTCAGCCAGACAAAGACGACTGCACAGCCATCCATTCATGCATACGCCGCACGGGTGTCATCTCCTCCACCGCAGCGTCCACATGTCCACGTCGTCGTAGGGGACGTTGTCGAACACCCTCCCACGATACACACGCCGAGCGTGGGTCGTCGACAGCATCGTCTGACGCAAATCAGTCGACGGCATCGGAGAGGCCGAACAGGCCGAATAGGCCGGAAGAGAGGTGACTGCACCAGCAGCGCCCGCCGCTTGGCGAGACTCCCACGATGTGGAGGTCCTTCCTGGCGGCAGGGGGAAGTTCGGCAGCCCCCTCTTGCCGGGGCGACGGGACGGGCAGGGAGGTCCCACAGATGGCAGCTGCCGCCTGTGGGCGTACGGGACAGAGGGAGGGAAGCAAACCGAGGAGGGATTCTCAGGCGGGGGAGAGGGGGGAGGTCCGAGAGCCCCCTCCTGCTCAGGCGACGGGAGGGGCGGGGGGGGTGCCCCAGAGGTGGCAGCAGCTGCCACGCGGAGGCTCATGGGACAGAGGAGAGGAACGGAAACCGGGGAACAAGGCAGCCGGCCAGGGGGCCGAGAGAACGCAGCGTCACGAAGGAAGCAGCAAGGGAACGTGCATAGGACGGACAGACCAGTGTGGGGCGGCCTGTCACGCGTGACCTGACAGACATCACATCGCATCCACAGACACGTGTGCAGAAAGAGAGACCGATCAGCCAGCCAGCCAGCCAGTCACGTGCACACCCACCCTCCCTGCTGACCACTGCGTGTGTGGCGAGGTCGGCTCTGTCCCACTCGCCCTTCATCCTCTTCTCCTTGAGCCGTTCGTATCGTTGCCACATGGCGTACACCACCACCACGTCGCCCCGAGACAGATACGCAGGCCACTCCCTCCGCTCCGCATGCCGCAGGTACTCCCTCGTCGTGAGGGCCATGGGATGGGCGCCCACAGGTTGCAGGCAGCCTCGGCCAAATTTGTCAACAGGGCTGCTGCTGATGATGGTGCTGAGGCGCTGCCCTCGTTGTCGAATGTGGTGCGGGGGCAGACGGTGCCCCATCGGAGGGCGAGGTAGGCCTGCAGCCGCTGAGTGGTGACGAGGCTCGCCGATGAAGGCGGGAGGATTGAGGGTGCTGAGCGCCGGCATCAGCACCATGTTGTTCTTGTTCTGGTTCCACAGCCTTCTCCATTCTGACGGCCTTCTTGCTCTGCCTCCAGAGATACTGCTGCTGCCGCCGTATCTTGTCCAACTCGGCATCATTGGCCCGAAGTCGTCAGCAATCACATACCGCTGGAAAACGAGGGGTATCGTTGTGGCAAACGTCTGTTGCGCGCCATGATTGCGGACAGCTCTATCAGCGTCAGCTTTGCCGCGTCTTCCATGGACTGGAATCGAGGAAATGATCTCAGTCCACACCTAATTCACCTGATCGATCACATCACACCCAACGCACGCAGGCAGGCAGTTGGGTCCGTCCATCTCTCTCTCTCTCTCTCTCTCTCTCTCTGTGTGTGTGTGTGTGTGTGTGCGTGTGTGTGTGTGATGACTCAGGTCAAGGACGGCGAGGAGTGGATGGGCATCAGCAATCTCTCTCTGTGTGGGTGTGGGTGTGGGTGCTGCGCTGTGCTGTGCTCACTCGTTTGTTGAGGCGACGGACTTCTCGAAACGGTGCAGGTTTTCCCCAGAGAAGTTGGGATGGATCAGATACACAGACAGAGTAACAGACAAAGGGTTCCTTGCCATCTGTCTGTCTGCATGTGTGTGTGTGTGTGTGTGTATACCTACCATCGACAGAGCCGAGCAGTGCCCGAGGTCCCACGATGGCAGGATGACAGCCGTCGACCGCACCAGCACCTCCCTCAGCCCCGTCACTGTCATCGGCGGCACCTCCTGCCACCCTGGCGCACACAGACCCCCATCGGTCAGCCGGAACAGCTTCCTGGGTGGCAAATGTGTGTGGCCCACCCAGGCGACCGGTCCGATCCGTGCTGCCACTTCTCACTCGCCTGCGTCAAGCGGGCGGCCGCCTGCTGCGTGCCGATGAGGCGGTGCTTGGGTGGGCGGGCTGCGATCGAGTCGAGGTCCGCCCAGATGCCCGGCTCGACGGGGAGCAGGGCAGCAGGTGCGAGACCTTATCCTTGAGCATGAGTATCCCGCGCACCCTCTCGAGCGCCTGCAGCTTGCCAGCCAGTGAGTCGCCCCTCACCTGCATTGCATTCACACGCCACAGCAGGCAACGTCTACAGATTCACCTCGTGAGTGCGCACCCCCCTCCCTGTGCTCCCTTGCCCTCTCACTCACTCACCTCATCCAGCGAGAAGAAACGCAGCCAGGAGAAGGAACGCGGCAAGGCGGAGATTGACGGAAGACAGCAAAAATTGGAAAAATTGATATTTAAGAAACCAAAGGGTTTGTCTGTTTGTCTCGTCGCGAAAATCTCGCCCGCGTGCATTCCTTGGCATTCACTGCTGGACGGCGGAGCGTCGTAATCAGCTGCTGCTGGTGCCATGATGGACGTGTCATCCCAGGATCATGAATTACCTGCCGCCTCGGCAGACGAGAAGGTGCGGAAAGGAAAACACAATGGGACGGCGGATCTGTCATTGATCGCATCTGTTGTCGTTCGTTCGTTCATTCAGGTGCCGTTCACCGGCTTCCGCTCGATGCCCAACGAGGTGTTGTCCTACGCCGGCTCATTCTTCAGCACGACGGACGGCACCAAGCAGATCTCAGAGGTCTCCCGGCACTTCTGCACATGCGCCACCGGCGAGCCGTCGTCGAGCATCATGAAGCCCCACACCGAGCGGGCCGGCGGAGCGTCATCCCTCTACAGCCACCTGCACATCGACAAGAAGGTCTTCTGGGACCTGCCGGCCCACGTCACGAGCCGGCTGGAGCGCACCCACCACCAGAGCATCGTGGTCAAGATGGACCCCAAGTGGCCCGTCAATGAGATGGTCATCGCCGCCATCCGCCGCTCGCCCGCCGTGCTGCAGAAGCTCGTCATCACCACACTCGACGGCATGGAGAGCGAAAAGTTCCCTGCTGACGGGCAAGTCGTTGGCAGCCCCCCTGCTGTCACGCCTCCGCCTCCCCCTGCCGACCGCATCGTGTTCCCTCACATCAAGAAGCTGCATGTGGACAGCCTGCGGCTTTGTGCGCATGGTTGCCGAGGGGTTCGAATGGTACGTAAGCCATCGACAACACACAGGGGGGGAAGGGGAGAAAGACGGACGGAACAGTGCGGGTGTTTGTATGCGTGTATGTGCAGGCCCGAGTTGATCGAGTTGCAGAGTGATCTTTTCTGCGCTTCGGACGCTGAGAACGACAGCTATGAGGATGACCGCATCACCGAGTCGTTCGTCGACCAGCCGTTGGCCCACTTCCTAAGCACGTCCAAGAAGCTGCAGCATCTGTGCGTCTACCCACTCACACCTTGTAAGGTGACACCACAACCAGCGCCATTTATATGTCGCAATGCCTGATTGTGTGTCAGATCCCCGTCGGCTGCCGCATTCCCTTCCCCTCTTCGTGAGTCTGACGCACCTGACCTTCCTGGATTGTTCCTGCATTCACGACAACCTGTCCCATCCCGACGCACCCTTCGACGCGCTGCACCCCTTCCTGGGTGTGCTGCGACAGCTGTGGGGCCGCAAGAACGACAGCAGGAAGAAGAAGGTGAGACTGTTGTATGACTTATGCGTCAATGAGGGGCTGACGGGCCGCATGGCCAGCACTGCCGGACCTCACGGACTGAGCGGTGAGGAGAAGAACACACTGAGGTACATACCGGCACTCGTGTACCTGTGTGATGGGTGTGGTGTGTGCAGCTGTCGGATTCATCGAGCAGCTGGAGGCCATGGGCTGTGAAATCGCATACTCCTTCGACACCACGTGAGTGACGGAGACACTCCACAGCACACACAGCCCTCCATACGCCTTGGAGTGCTATGAGTGTGCCGGTCTTTCAGGGTCCAGCTGGATTGTGTGAGTGTCGAGAACAATGTCGTCGATCCGCCGCCTCTCCATCCGGTCGTCCGAAGAATGGCCGAGGGACTCGCCGCAGTGTCAGATTCCGGTGCCAAATGAGAGCCACCTGCCTGGATTGGTGTGCATAGCCCGTACGTGAGCTCTCTGTGTGTGTTTGTCGATCAGTGGAGATCATCTATGGGGGTGTCCGGCTGCCTGAGGTCAGCCACACAGCCACATGTAGTCGGGCAAGCGGCAGCCTGCTTGCAGTGGTTTGGATGTGTGTCTGTGTCGTTGATCCATTTGTCAGCGATGGAGCTTCCCACCGCCATTCAGTGGGGCGTCGGGGCTAAGGATCTCCTTCAGCCGCAGCAAAGACGAGCTGCTGGACAGGCATGATGACGACTTCAGCACCATCCCGGCCTTCCTCATCAATGAGCCAGAGCGCTACCCCAACGTCGAGGACCTCATTCTCGACCGCATCGGCAGATCGACGGGCGGCGACAGCGTCATTGCCGCGCCGCCCAACCCTCTCAGCCGCATCATGACGAACGCCCTACCGTCCTTGCAGCGGCTGTGGCTTTGCAACATGGGCCGATCGACCACTGCTGAGTGCCTCTTATGCCTCAAGGTTAGTCAGCTTAGCCTCACCTGTGGCTGGATGGCCGTCAGTCAATCTCCGTGCTTTTTCGTCCGTTTGTCAGGATCGCACGGCCAAGCTGGAGGAGTTGATTGTCTCCTGGCCCCTCCTGCCTGTGGAGCTGCCCCCTTTGGTGCTCGCCCCGCCCCTCGTCCCGCCTGTCAAGCGACTGGTCCTCAAAATCTCGGCATTCCTCATGTTCCCGGCCAGCGTTAATTCGCTCTTCAGCCTGGCCCTCCTGCTCATGCCCGACACGGCCGAGATCACACTGCTGTTGGCAGATGCTGACACGGACGAGGGGGCGGCCTTGGCGCTGCTGCAGAGTGATCGGCGGTGCATGCGGTACTACGACGTGCAGCTGCCCCTCCCCGACAACCAGGGCGAGACCTCGCGGAAGTTTGTCGTCAAGATGACCAAGAAGGCCGGCGTAGACTGATGGATGGATGGGCCAGGGATGTCCAGAGGAGACGCATAAGGTCAGAGGAGACGATAGAGTAGCCAGCCGGCCACGGCATGCGGCGACTTGTACAGATTCCGTCGCTGCATACTTTGTAGCCGACTGACTGACTTGAGACTCATGCCTGCACATGAAATGAATCCATGGACGGAATGGAGTCGGAACGGTCATCATTTCTCGCGTGCTGCACAGTGTTAAAGGCCACACTAAAGTGTCCACCCGTCTGGTCTCCCTCGCCCCTCGCCCCTCCCCTCCCTCCTGCCCCGCCCCTATCGCCAGCTATCGCATGCCATCATGCCATGCCGTGTCTGTCATCCATGCCATCATGCCATCCATCCACGCCCACGCGTCGGTCGATTAAAGGATGAGGACACGCGCACATTCCACAGTGCTGACTGCAGAAAGGAAAGGAAAGGAAAGGAAAGCGAAAAGGACAGACAGCACAAAACGAAGTCGAGAAGAAACCTAACCCACAAAAGGCAGACAGCCAGCCAGCCAATGTAGGCCCCCCCCGTCTCCCATCGCTAGCTATGGGTGTGGTGTGGTGTGGTGTCTCGGCTACGCCAGGACACTCCCAGCCACGCCACGCCACGCCTGTGTCTCATTCAATCATTCCTCGGCACCGGCCCTCTCTGCAGGCGGCCCCTCCTGCCCACCACCAGCCCTCCCATCTCCCTCTCCGTCTATCGTGTCAGGCGCCATGGGCACCAGAGGCATCACCACCACCACCGCCGCCCCACACGCCGGGCAGTGCTTGGCGGGCGGCACACACTCGTCGCCACTGTCGGCCAGTGCCTCGGTGAGCGCCTCGTCCGAAACCTCGCACTGGCACGGCAGACACCGCCATTCGGCCGCACACTCTCCGCTCTCGAGGAAGATGGTCTCTTTGTCTTTCTCTGTGGGTTTGTCGTGGCTGGTGCTGGTGCTGGTGTTGAGGGTCTCTGTGTGGGTCTCCGGCTGCTGCTCATGCTGCTGCTGGTGGTAGGGGGGCGGTGGGGGCTCGGCGTGTGCGGTAGTGGTCTCGGGCGCGTGCATGGCGTCCAGTCGGGAGCGGGTCTGAGTGCAGAGGGCGTTGATCTTGGTGAGCCAGGTGGCGATTTGGTTCTTGCGGACGAGCAGCCGCTGGAGGAGGATGCTCAGCTCCTCCGCACTACTCAGGCTGGCGTACTCGGCCTCACGCCTACACAACATGACACGGAGACAGACAGACAGAGAGCGATGGATACATTTATGAGACGGTGCGTTTGGTGCCGTTGGAGGCTGGCTGACGCACCACTTAAAGTCTTCCTCAATGACCGTCCAGGTGTCGGCCTGGGCTGCCTGCAGCTGCTGCAGCTGACTCTCCAGCCTGCACACACACACACACACACACACATGGATGGATGGATGGACACGTTAGTGTTGGGGAGGCATATATATGTCACGTGTGTATGTGGGTTGGGCTTAAACATACATGGCGCATCGTTCGTGAGCCTGTTTACTGGCGCGTTTGTCCTGGTCCTGCATGGCCTGGGCCATCTGCAGGTTCTGCTCCAGCATCGCTATGTACTCGCGCTGCTGCATCATCTCGTAGTACTCACTGAAGCAAGCCGTCACTCGCACACCCCACCCGTATTATGTCTCTTCTCTCTCCACATGTATGTCATGGGGTTCTGGCTGGCCGGAGTGTTAGAGGGAGGGCTTACAATTGCCTGTGGTTGTTAATGGGGTAGTGGCCCAGCATGCCGATGCCGCCCGAGGGCGAGAAGGACTGTGCGTAGGCGTTCATCTCGCTCCCGCCACCGCCACCACCCACACCACCACCGCCGTGATAACCCCCGTTGCTGCTGGCATACATGCCCTGCCTGCGCGCACACACACGGACACACACACAGACACACACACACACACACACATGCACAATATATGAGGCTTGAGTGTCTTTGTCCGTCCGTTGTGTGTGTTTGGTACGTACGCGGTGGTGCCATCGTATGTCATGCCGGCGTGACCCCCCATTGGCCCGCCGCCCCCCATGCCACCGTGGCCCTGGCCGTGGCCGTGCGCCCCGCCGTGTGCGTGTGTGTGAACGCCCTGTATGCCCGGCTGCAGACGCTGGCCGGACACATAACCCTGCTGGTGCTGCGAAGGGCTGCACACATGGATGGATGGATGGATGGATGGACAACACACACACAGAGGGAGAGATGCGTAACGTACCTGCTAGCTACAGGTGTTGTGTCGACGTTGGGCGTGGGGTTGGGCAGCAGGCCGGGCTGTGGCGGGAGCGGCTGGGGGCTGTTTAGCATGGACAGGATCGCTTCCACTGATCCACATGCAAACACGCACAAAGAGCCGTGGGTGGGTGTGCTGGTGGCGTGAGTACCTACCTATTGGGCTGTGTTTGACGGGGATGAGGGCCTCCCGCATGTGCTTAAAGAAGGGCTCCTTGCTCGGCGCTGACCGAACCACAGACACACACAGACAGAGAGAGAGAGAGAGGCATGCACAGCTGCCCTGCATAGCATATGTGTGATTGGTGTGTGGTTGGTCGTGTATACTGCCCGTGTCGTACGTCTGGCGAGTTGGACCATGCGTTTGAGTATCGTCAGCCCCAGGAGGTTGTGCACCATCTTGCGCAAGGGCACCTGGCCAGTACTGCACACAACACACAACACACAACACACACATACGGACAGACCTGTCTGTGTGTGTGTGTGCCTGCCTGCCTGGCTTGCTGACTCACCCGTCTCCGGGCATCCCCATGGCGGCGGCGATGAGCTCCTGCCGCTGGTGCTCCTCGGCCATTTCAAATGCACGCGTCACCACGTGGCTACACAAACACACAACACACACATACAGACACACACACATGGGCACTCAGGCAGGCAGGCAGGCAGGCTGTCAAAACAGACAGACTCACTTGCCGAATTTGTCCATACTGAGCAGGGCAAAGTGCTCGCGGACTTCATCTAGAATGATCCTGACAGGCAGGACACGCACACACACACACACACAGAGCAAACACAGTGAGCGTATGGGTCAGTGGGCTGGGGGGTGGATGCCGTCCCTGTGTGCCTAAGTAGATGGATGACTTGACTTGTTACTTTCTGTGTTGTGGTTTGCCCCTGGCGAGGAGTATGAGCACGATGAAGTTGCCGAAGCCCGTCACGCTAAGGTTGACTATAAGACCACGAGTGCACAGCTCGTCGTACAGCGCCGCCTGACATCCATGCCATCACATCACACAGACAGACACCAATCGACGCATACAAACTAGATATGGCTTCCCCTCTCTCGGTCCTGGCTTTGTCCTCACTCACCGCCTGCACTGGTGTGGCCTTCTCGATGAACTTCTGGAGGACCTTTGAGCCAACCGGGTCAAGAGCCAATCGACGCATCTACACCCACACAACCACACACATGCAGCCCAGGCATACACCACACCACGCAAGGGCAGCCAAACGAAGAATAGATGTGTACGTTTCCCCTGAGTGCTTGTGCGACGAGGGTCATGTCGGTTGTGTGTGAGTACTCGACGATGGCCAGCGCGACAGTGTTGGCCATGCCGGCCTTTTCCATGCACAGCTCGGCGAAGTGCGGCTTGGCCGCCTTCAGAAACACGTTCAACTGCTGAGGGGGCAGCTTCTGCAGGGAGCGGAGCAGCCCACACACACACACACATCCACACGTGGATATGGTGTGGCGGTGTGTGTTTGGCTGACTGACTTTGAGCATGCTGTCGATGACCCTGCAGCCAAACATGGACCTGGCGAGGTCGGGGAAGATCTCACTCAGCTTGGCCACCAACCGACGGTTCTGCTCCTCACGACCTGCACGGATGCGATGCCACACACACCATACTATCCGTTGACCTCATGCGAATGTGTGTGTGTGTGTGAGTGTGTGGATGTGTGGGTGGGTGGGTGGGTGGCGGCGTACATAGCTCGATGAACAGCTGGATGATCTCGTTGCCACTAACACGGCAGAAGATACACAAAAGAGACGCCATTCTCGCTCGCTCGCTCTCCTTCAGCCAAATGGTCACACGTGTGTGGAGGGGGGGGGGGGGGGGGGGG